ATGGAGGAAGGGAGGAAGGGAGGAAGGGAGGAAGGGAGGAAGGGAGGAAGGGAGGTAGGGAGGGAGGAAAAGAGTAAGGGAAGAAGAAATAAAAATAAACCTACATCCTATGTACATTTGACAGCCATCACAATATTCCAATGAAATGAGTGGTAAAAAGAGCGTACTACTCTCATTTCTTACAGATTAAAAAAAAAAATTTTAAAGTTGCCTAATATTATACTATACATGGATGATCAGCAGAAGTGGTATTAAAAACTTCCTACTCCTGACCTTTAATGTACTTCTACACACATGAGTTTTAGGGAGGAGGTCATGAAATGTTTCACTAAGTATTATAATCTAAAACTATTGTAGTTCAATTAAAAGAAAAAAAAACATATAAACCATTCTCATATTGATCAGATTTTAATACAGTCCTCTATAACAATTATTATTTAAAGGTAAATTAAAACTAATCAGGACAAATAAAACATGATATAAGTAACTCTGTGAAGGTAGACGCAGATCTCAAATGTACGAAAATTTGGCCTTTTAAGAGAGTCCCTTTGTTATAGTGAGAGGAATAAAACGTGAGATAAAGAAATACTATTTCTCTTTCTACTTTCCTTTTATAAACATATTGCATGCATATATTTTCAAAATGACACTCAATTCCCACTTTATCAATTTCTACTTGTGGTAATAAAATACAATTTTAAAACATTAAGAACTGGACGTGGTTCCATAGTGTAGCAGTTAGCACGTCTGATTTACATGCAGAAGGTCCTGGGTTCACACCTCAGTGGAGCCATGGTCCATGGTCTACGGCCATGCCACCCTGAACAAGCCCAATGTCTGATAGCAGGATCGGGCCAGGTTAGTACTTGGATGGGAGACCATCTAGGAAGAACAGATGCTGTAGGCATAAATAATAATAGTAATAATAATAATAATAATAATAAACATTAAGAATTGACTTAAAGTAAAAGGAATAATCCTTTGTTGAAGCTACAACTCATGATGATGGCTACTATGTAAACATAAGTTTTTTTTTGACATCAGATTAAATAACTCCAATTTATTTTACCTTTTCTCATGGACAGAGTCACCAGCTTGTAATCAAGTTGTGTTCTGATTATTTGTAAGCTGGTGGTCTGAAAAAAGCCATAGTTTTCTTACAGAAACTATGTTAAATATTACTGGTTAGACTATCAGAAGAGCTCACAAAATCCAAATTAACTTATAATATGGTAAACTAATACTAA